TCTTTTCTTTTCTTTTCTTTTCTTTTCTTTTCTCTTTTCCTTTTTTTCTTTCTTTTCTTTCTTTCTTTCTTTTTTAACGTTTTTATTATTTGTTTTTGAAAGAGACAGAGACAGAGTGTGACTGGGGGAGGGGCAGAGAGAGGGAGACATGGAACCTGAAGCAGGCTGCAGGCTCTGAGCTGTCAGCACAGAACCTGCTGTAGGGCTCGAACCCACGAACCATGAAATCATGACCTAAGCCAAAGTCGGACGCTTAACCGACTGAGCCACCCAGGCGCCCCTTCTCTACTCTTTTCTACCCAGTCCCCCTCCTTGTGTGCAGGGCTCAGATCCGCTCCCCAGGGCCCCTGTCCTTGTTCTGCGTTTCTCCTATATTTGCCCTGACCGGCAGCTGCGTCGATACGTGGTGCTGGAGCCCGATGCCCATGCAGCTATCCAGGTAATGGGGCCCGGAGCGAGGCCCAGGAGGCTGGGGAAGGATTGGGGGGTCAAGGGCCAGGGTCCATTGCTCACAGCTGCTTCTGGCCAACCCTGTATCAGGAGCTGCTTGCCGTGTTGACCCAAGCAGCCACCACGGCTCAGTGTCAGCTTGGGGAAGCAAGAGACCCGCTGAGGGGCAGACTCCAGTGTCTACGTTGTGGCCATGAGTTCAAGCCAGAGGAGCCCAGGTTGGGATTAGACGGTGAGGAAGGCTGGCGGCCTCTGTTCCAAGAGACAGGTACGGGCCCTGCCCTTGGCCTTCCTGCCCACACCTCTCCCACCATTTCAGAGACAGTGGCGTTGAGGGAGGGAGTGTGGAGGGGGAACCCCAGGGAAGGGAAGGAATTGGGACCAGCTTTTCTGCCTGGAGGAAAATAGACTCATCTGTCTGATACATTTATCAAAAAAAAAAAAAAAAAAAAAAAAAAAAAAAAAAAAAAGAGCAAAAAGAGAAATTATATTCTTTCTTTTCGAAAGTCAGGAAATACAATCTCTGAAACTATTTAAACGTACTCATTATTTTTTCATAACTTGAAGGCTCTTTCCACTTTTTCTGGCTAATATTTAGAAACTGCATAAAAGCTCCTGAGCTCTCACTGCAGTATTGGGTGTAGTGCTGTCCTCTGAGTGTGTTTGGCTGTTGAGTAAGATGCTGTGGGAGTTGGCTGAGATTGTCCTTCCTTGACTGACCTTGGAAGCTACTTCATATCGAGCGGTGCCTCATGGCATCTTTTCACACTGTGTTCTTTAAAGGGAGAGATTTTTTCCACTGTAGATCAGTCAAAAAGCTATGTCTTTGAAGACATTAAAGAAGAAAGAAATATTCTTGATAACGTCTGTGTTGAAACGTATGACTTTTAGTAGCCACTTTTTTCTTCTTGGCAGCGGCTAGAGCAGAGGTTTAAAGTTTATTGAGAAAATAGACCCCTTTCCACCTCCCTCTCTAAACCTCCCTCCCCAGAGGCCCAGAAGTACAATGTATACAGTGGAAAGAGCCCCATCCCCTCTAAGACCTTTCTGTGCTCCACAGGGTCACGTGGCCCCTGGGGTCCCTTCAGTGGGTCATTATTATTGAACGTTCCTGTGTGTTACGTCCTCTTTTTATTTGAGCCTTGGTTACCTCATCTGAACAAAGAAGGGAGTGAACTTGTCCTCTCTACTGTTAGGAGATTTAAATGTGACAGAAAGACGCCAGGCACAGTGTCTGGCACAAAGCATAGGTCCTCCGTAAATGGTAGCTTACCACCGCTAGCCTCAGCTCCACGGTCTCAGTCCAGGTACGTTCAGTTATTAGATCGTTGCTTTCCTCATTTGCAAAATGGGGTCGGGAGAGTTTTGATTCTGTCGTCAAAAGTTCTAGCGTATGCCCAGCACGCTATAGCTGCTCAAGGAATGTTTTTTCTCTTGCTGCCGATCCCTGACCTGGGTTCTTTACCTGGTCCATTCACCATCCTGACAACTCTGTGAGATAGGCACTGTCATCACCCTCTGTTACCGAAGAGGAACCGGGCTCAGGGAGCTTAGGTGACTTGTCATAATTGCCTAGATGACAGCTGTTAAGTGACAGAGTCTGGAATTGGACCCATACCTGGCACCCTGCCTTCCTGATCTGTTGATTTGGAGCTTTCAGACGTGGCTGGTGGAGCATCAGAGCACATGACCAGCCTGAGGCTGTGGGAGGGGACGAGCAGGGCCTGGCTGAGTTTGGTCCTCTCTGAGAAGGCCTCAAATCAGAAGGTGGGGTCCATTTTGAGGACGTTGCAGGCTATGGGTCTGGGTTTGCTGCTCCCTCACCGGGATGGAGGGTGGTTAACAGGCCTGCAGAGGGAGTGGGGAGAGGGGCGTTGGGAATGGTAGGAGTGTATGAAGCTGGAGATGTCGGCCAGGGGGAGTCCAAGAGGGGGTGGGGAGCATTATGAGTGTGGTAGGGGATTGTGACACTGTGGGGCGGGGGGATGGTTCACAGGGACTGTGCCCATCCTTCCTTCCAGAATCTCCTGCTGTATGTCCAAACTGTGGTAGCGATCATGTGGTTCTCCTGGCTCTGTCCCTGGGAACCACCAACAGGGAGCACAGGGAGGGAGAGCAATCGCCAGCTCCCTTGCAGTCCACCAGCACTGTCTGTGACCCTTCTGACCACAGTGACCACAGCGACAGGGCTGACCCGGCCCCATCTCAGGCACCAGGCTCCCGAGATCACCACAGTTGGAGCCTCAGTCCCCGTGAGTAGAGGTGAAACGAGACAGGGGTGGTGTTTGCGGGAGGCAGGAGGTCCTGCCGGGGAGGCGGGACGGCGCTGTGGCAGCCAAGGCTGACGGCCCACTGCTGCCCCCAGCCCCTGAGCGCCACGGCCTCCGCTCCGTGGACCACCGACTCCGGCTCTTCCTGGATGTTGAGGTGTTCACCGATGCCCAGGAGGAGTTCCAGTGCTGCACCAAGGTCTGCGCCAGCCCGACACTGCCCCGCGCCTCTCACTGACCAGAGTGCCCACTCGCTGCCAGCGCAGCAGATCGTGTCAGGGCAGTGGTTCTGGAAGCACCGGGTCCGGTTCCCGGTTTCAACTCCAGCAGTCACGTGCAGCGTGGCTGTGATATCGGAGTCTCAGTTGTCACCGCTCTGCAACGGGGGTAGCAGGGCCTGCCTTACAGAGCGTGGTGGGGTCAGTGAGGGCCCGCGTCACAGTTGCCTAGCACAGCACCTGGCGCTCGAGGGGGACCTCCCGTTGCTGTTGTAATCTACGATGTCATTGGTTCCTCTGTGAGCATCTAGCATGTGCAGGACACTAAGGGCCTAGGGTAAATCGGTGTCACCAGCCGTCTTACGTTGTGGTGTGAGAAACCCGATGGTCTGGGAAGGGCTGGGATCAAGCTGAGTGAGGGAGCCTCTCTTTGGGGAGCCGATCTAAGGTGTAATCCGGGTCTTGAAAAAGGAGTTACAGAGTAGGAGGTGAGGATCTGGGGGGAGGAAGCAGCACGTAGGTGGGGGCCTGAGAGAGGAGCTAGCGCGTGGGTAAGGCTGCTGTCAGGGCAGCAGGAGGAGGGGGCGGGAGGGGGCGGGTGTCCTGAGAGGAGTCTGAAGAGGGAGGTGCAGGGGTCAGTTGAGGGGCAGCCTCAAGTGCCCGCCAAGGGGATTGGACCCGATCCCAAGGGCCGCAGGAGCCCTGAGGCAGGGGAGTGGCAGTCTAGTTTGCTTTAGGACGGTCCAGCGGAGTGTGGAGGGTGGGCCAGAGGGGGCACGGTGCCAGGCAGGGAAACCCGCTGAGCCCAGCTGAGGGTCAGGGTGCAGGGGGGTGGGGCCAGGGTGCGTGAGCACCGGGGGGAGGGTTGAGCACAGCGAACCTGTTCTCAGCCTGGCAGCCTCCTCCCTGGTCCTCCCTTGTTTCTCATTAATTTTCCCTGCTCCTCAGGTGCCCGTCGTGTTGGCAGGCCACCCTGGGGAGTTTGTGTGTCTTGTGGTGGTGTCAGACCACAGGCTTTACGTGTTAAAAGTGACAGGGGAGATAAGGTGAGCGAGCGGGGCCGCCAGGGTCAGGGCGGGGCCCCCTTGGGTCTCACACCACTCACTGTTCGCCACCGCTTTGGCCCTGCCTCTCCTCAGCGGGCCTCCGGCTAGCTGGCTACAGCCAACCCTGGCCGTCCCCCTGCACGACCTGAGTGGCCTCGAACTGGGGCTGGCAGGACAGAGTCTGCGGCTGGATTGGGCTGCCGGGACAGGCAGCTGTGTCCTGCTGCCCCGAGATGCCAGACATTGCCGGGCTTTCCTAGACGAGCTCACCGGTGAGAGAGGGGGGAGAGGGGGAAGGGAGGTGCAGGGAGGGCAGGTGGGGGCTGCCCGTGTCTGGCAGCTGCAGCGGAGACAGACGGGTACTGGGACTCATCCCTTGTAGAGGTTTCTGAAATCTAGAGATCGTGAGAACGGAAGGTGTTGAGAGGCGGAGAGGGTGGGGTGGAAGAGGTGGGGTCGCTGAGGTTCCCTGTCCCTGGCCGGCTCGGTCCAGATGTCTTGCAGGCTCTGCCTCCTGCCTGGAGGAGCAGTGTCAGCGCCACAGAGGAGGAGGTAACCCCGGAGCACCGCCTCTGGTGAGTGGATAGGAGGCCGAGGCCGGGCTCGGTGGCCCATGCGGCCGCTCTTGGTGCACAGGCCCTCGCCACCAGCTCTGGCCACGGTTAGGCCCTGAGCACCTGGGCCTGCCACCTGCCCTCACGCCTGCACCCCCCTGACCCAGCTCTGGTCCCTCCTCCCTGCCCCTCTCAGTATTTTCTGCCCCCCTCGCTGACCACACCTTCTCCCCAGGCCTTTGCTGGAGAGGGGCTCTTCCTCGGAGCCTCCCCTGTTCTTCTACCTTCGGGTGTTCCTGGTCGAAGGTAAGGCTTCGGTACCTCTTCTTGTCCAGGCCGCTGGCTGCGCCTCCCCCCCAACCCCCGTGCCTCTCATGCCGTGGTAGCAATTTTCAGCTCCTGGAATCCGGACTTCCTCTCACTCACAGGCACACCCAAATGACAGCCTCAGTCTTCCCGGCCTCTCTGAGGGGGGCCAGGAGGTTTCCTGGGTCCTCAGTTGCTCAGAGACCTTTGCTTCCGGGTATGGGCTTTCTATGAAGTGGAGCCGATTGGCTGGGTCTGCTCCACCTCATCCTGTCAGAGGAGGCGAGTGGATCTTTCTTTCTGAGTGGGGTGGGTGGTGGGGCAGGTTCCCTTTGTCTTGGGCCTTAGGTTTTGGAAGCTAGAGATGCCTGGAGTTTGGAGAAGGGAGGGCCCTGGCCTCCAGGGGCACAGGCTGCTCTCTGACCACCTCAGCAGGGTGTGGTTCACTCCTCTCAAGCGCACTGGGATGCTGCCCCGGGGATCTGGGCTCCTCTGCGGCTTTCCACCCTGGGCCTCGCCCTGTCTCTTTCCCTCTAGGCCCTGCAACCTGCCCTGTGTCCCTGTTGATGACTCTGTCCACCCTGTACCTGTTAGAGGAGGACGTGGCAGGGTCCCAGGCAGAGCCTCCTCTTCCAGCACCATCTGATGAAGCTTCTGAGAAGTCCCTGCCCTTGGGGCTGGGCCCTTCTGTGCATGTCAGGGAGCAGTGGCCACTCAGCAGCCTGAGCTCGGTGCTGCTGTATCGCACGGCCCCGGGGGACCTGCGACTGGTCTTCTATGACGAGGTGTGTGTGTGTGTGTGTGTGTGTGTGTGTGTGTGTGTGTGAGAGAGAGAGAGAGAGAGAGAGAGAGATGAGGACAGGGGTGGTGGGCAGTGTGGGAAATGGGTCTAGGAGGGCTGGGCATTGGAGGCAGTGTGGGTGTGATGGGCAGTCATGCTGGAGGGAGCATGGAGAGGTGGGGTGCAAGGAACTGGGAGGCTCGCTGGGTGCCTGGATCAGCAGCAGGTAGAGGCGGGGGAGACAGCCATGGGAACCCCATGGACCTGGAGCCTGGCTTTGTGTTGCCTGGGAAGCCTTTCATGACGCACCGGCTGCCGCTTGGAGTTCGTGTTCGATTGGGCCCCAGTGCCAGCCATCTGGTTTTCACAGCCTCAGTGGGAGGAGTACTCTCATTAGGCCCTATTACAGATGGAGAAACTGAGGCTTGGGGACATTAACTTACTTGCCTGGGTCACAAGTGGTAGATGCAGAAATTGAACTCCAGCCAATTCCTTGGAACTGACTCCAGAACTTATATTCTGAAAAACGGTGGATTAAAAGAACAAGGTAGTAAATGTGAAAGCCTTCTGGGGGGGCCTCCAGTAAGTGTTGATTGTGTTCTGTTTAAAAAGCTCAAAGTCAGGGTCTCCTACAGGGAGTGACACAGGCTTGGGGAAGGAAAGACGCCTTTGAGTCGAGGGGCGGTGGGTCCTCTGTGAGCCTCACCTCACCGCCACTTTGTCTGCCAGGTGTCCCGGCTGGAGAGTTTTTGGGCACTTCGGGTTGTGTGTCCTGAGCAGCTGACGGCCCTGTTGGCCTGGATCCGGGAGCCCTGGGAGGAGTTGTTTTCCATCGGACTCCGGACTGTGACCCAGGAGGCTCTAGATCTTGACCGGTGAGGCTTCCTTGCCGACCCCGCTTTGGCCTTAGGAGCCACGGCTGCAGGCTGTCTTCTCCAGACTCTGGCTGTGGACTTCTCCAGCCTTTGGACGCTCAGTGAGGCCCCAGAATGACCCAGGAAAGGGTCATCTCACCCAAGGGAAGGGTGAGAGAAGTTGCCTGGCCTGGTCTGGCCCAAGGGGTCAAGCTAAGTGGTCAGTCGGAACGTGTCTCCTGCACAGTGTCTCAGGTATCAATAAATTGTTTCCATTCCAGAGGCCGTGGAGGTATTGACATGTGTCGTTCATGCAGCCTGCCGCTCCTTTGTCTCTTCTAACAGAAACTACCCCACCCATAGCTCTCCCTCAGTGGACAGCGCAAGCAGCCTTGCTTTTTCTGTGAGACCCCATCTCCAACCCCACTCTGCCCTGGCTGATGGGAGCAAGTAGGACCCCTGACTCATGGGCCCCAGTCCTCAGCCAGCAGTGCCTGTTACGGGGCCTGATGTGGAAATCACTGCCTGACGAACAGTCGGGCCAGTTCGATTCTCACTGTCTCGGATTACCGTTGGAAACTAATGAAGCTCTCGGGTCATTGGCAGGAGGTGCCCGATATGAGACGGTGTCTGGGGAGAGGGTGTGTGGAGTTGGGCTGCGGAGGGAGTGGTTGGCATTCTGTGGGTTGCCGCCCCTACCTCTTGTCTGAGCACTTCCTCGCTCAGCCTGGTGGCCTGGCTGGGTTGACCTTGCTCCTTCACCTCTGTCTCTGTAGCCACAGTGATCATGATGTTCAGGGACGTTCATGTGACTTGGTCTGGTTGCCAGAACACCCAGGAAAGAGGTACGTTTCCCCCGTGAGGGGTGCTGAGAGGAAGCCTGGAGCTGCTCGCTGTGAGGGGAGAGCTTTCCTGAGAGTGGAACTGCGCAGAGACAGGACAGGGCCGAGAGACGGGGTGGGCAGGACCAAGTCCTGGTGGTGTCTTTGGAGTTCCCGGGTCCAGTCATGCCTGGAAGCAGGTGCCCCTGGAACTTTGGGTTATGTGAACTAAAGGAAATCCCCTCCTTTTTCCTTCTCTTTGTCTCTCTTTTGGCTTAAGCTAATTTGAAGCAAGTAACAAGCCATAGAAAGGGTCTTAATTGTGTAAATCCGCACCCTGACTTGAACCAGCCTGACTTGGGACCTGACTTTTGCACCCAGGAATGTGCACAGCGGGAGGAGTGGTACCCACATGTTTGTGCACAGAGGCCCTGGGAGGAGAGCTTGGGGAAGGAGTGTTGAGGGCTTAAGTCAAGCTTCCCTTAAACCCAGAAGCTGGGCTCTGGCTGAGTCTGTTGTGTGGTTTTGGGGTGGCTCTCATCTATGGAGCATTTATATGCCAGGCCCTGAGCCAAGTGCTTAGGGATGGTAGCTCCTCACAGGAGTCCTGAAGTGGGTGGCGTCTTGTTGAAGGAAATAGGCTTACAGGAGCTAAATGACTTCTTCAACGTCCTATCAGTAAAGGGCGGAGACCCGATGAGTCCAGACTCGTAGGACTTCAAAGCCTGGGCAGTCAGAAAACCACAGAGCCTCACTGCCTCCCATTCCCTGCCATGGATGGGCCTCTGTGCCCGGCCCCAGTCACAGTTCACAGAGAGGGACCACTGCCCACCCTGCCCTGCGTAATCCTAGATTCGTGCAGGACAGGTGAGCCAGATGGAGTGTATCTGAAGTTTCTCTTTCCTCCAGGGTGTAGCGAGATGTTAGGTGAAGTATTAATTCATGGGTGATTTTCACCCCTTCCAGCAGAACTGTAGAGAACAGAGATGACGATCCTTAGGTTTTAAGTCAAAGGGCTAAACAGTAAGAAGAGATTTGAGAGGGACCATAAAGGGACGAAGAGCTCTGCAGGGGAGAGAGGGGAGAGTGTTTACAGAAGGGCATTAGGAGCAGCGAAGGAACGATGCCCTGTACCGTTGGGGGCTCTCAGGGTGGAGGGGCCCTGTGCCTAGCTCTGTGTTTGGAACTAGGGAAGACAGTGACCAGTCAGATGTTCCCTGTGCCACGAGGACACACAGAGCTGGCCTTTTGGAAGGACGTGGCAAGATAGGGCTGGAGACAGTTGCCCAGATTTCTCTCGAATGGAAAGGGGAGGGGGCCCAGAGGATCCTGTGGGTTCCCGGAAGTGCGGGGAAGTGCACGGAAGGCGTGCTAGAGAGCTTGGCCGGGTCCTTGCAGCAGCACAGCCGGAAGGTGGTGTAGGTCCAGCCCCCAGATGGGGATATGACCAAGTTAAATTTGAGTTACTTGAATTTAAATCATTGATGAGGCTGACCTGACTTGAATGTTAACAGATTAACTTCTCCGTTGGTTGGAAATGAGGGCTCGTTACAAGGATAGGGTTGAGTTGTCAAGAAAACCACATTTTTGCATACCTGAATTTGGAAGACTGCCATGTTTTCTGGAATTTTCATCTGTTACAATTGGAAAAGTCAACATAGAAGGGTGTGGAAGGTGTGGACCTAGAGAGCAGGGGCGTATGGTTTCTTTGTTAGTGGTCTGGGGGTTACTCCTCTCCACTAGAAGGCCTTCGATTTAGGGCTCATGGGGGAGGGACGTGCTCTGGAAACTGGGTCAGGCATCACTGTAAAGCTGCTTTGGGGGAGTCCAAGGTGGGGCCTGGGGTTGGGGTGTGCTGTAGGCTAGAGAATACTGTGCCCCAGTTCTACCCTTGACCCAGCCAGCCTCTGCAAACCCTGGGGCTCCAGAGGGTGGAGTCGTATGGGAAATAATCAATGCCACTGGAGGCCTGTCACTCAGCCTCAAACCCTGCTCACGAGACAGCAAAAGTACAAGAGAGAAGCCCCTAGATTCTTTTTTTTTTAATTTTTTTTCCGTCTAATTTATTTTAAAGACAGCAAGAGCATGAGTGGGGGGGACGGGCACAGGGAGAGAAAGAGAGAGATTGAGGGTGAGAATCTCAAGCAGGCTCCGTGCTCAGCCCTGGAGTCTGACGCAGGGCTCTATCCTGTGACCCTGGGACCATGACCTGAGCTCAAATCAAGAGTTGGACGCTCAACCGAGCCACTCAGGCACCCCGAGAAGCCCCTGAGTTCTGAGGAGGTGAAGGAACTGTGGGGCCCTAGGAGGGAGAAGCCTTTGATCCTGGTTAAGACCCCCTCCTTAATTCTGCCTTTTCTGACCCTCATGTGGGTCAGCATTGTTCCTGTCCTGAAGCATATTTATTCCTAAGTACACTGAAAGGGTGAGTTTATTTATTCCTTCACTTGATTGGTTAATAGGACACAGGTCCTACCGCGGAGCCCATTAGAGCACACGTCAGGGCAGGAGGGCTTCTCCAGCAGCCCATAAACTACCTCCAGGAAATCACCTACCTTCTCTGGGTCAGGACTGCTGAGAGGGGCTGGTGGTGCCAATATGTAAAGCTCCCTTGAGGATTTATAGAGGCACACCTCAAAATAATGAGGGAGGTAATAACCTAACAGCTATGGCTTAGTGAGCTCTTACTACGGTCCGTATGTCGTTTAAAGCAGCTCATTTTCCCAGGTGTTTCCTACACCCTTTGATCATGAGATATAGAGCCAATTCACCTAAGAAAAGAGCCATCAGTATAATAGAAATGACCGTGACCTGGCAGACCTGAGCCGAGGCCCCAGAGAGGGGGTTTCTTCTGCACCTCAGAGCCAGATGGCTTCTGTCTCCTGCTTCCCCAGCCGGATCCTGGTCTGGTCTAGCTGGAGAGTGGAGAGGAAGCGGTGTGAATCTTGGAACTGACCAGTCGGGAAATGCTGGCTAGGGTGGAGGTCCCTCGGTGACAGGCCTGCGAAAGGACTGTGCAGAGGTTCAGAAAATAAGTTCACCTACTTCTGTTGGCTCGGAGCTGGCCTGAATTTTTAATTGAAGCAAATTAAAACTTCCCAAAAAGATTAGTCCACTTTCTTGGTGGTGTGCACGCCCCCTTCCCCATCAGCACTTTTGCACCATCTGCGAACAAGCCGGTATTGGCCCCAAGAGAGACCTTCCCCAGCCACTGGCCCAGAGCTACGGTTCAGAAAGGTCGGGCCCATTTATAAGGACTTCTCCAGAAGTCCCGTCAGACGGTCCCTATGGGGCAGACTAATGTTTAGTCATCGTAGCGTGATTTGCAAAGCAGTGTGAGGCTGGTGTAGTTCACGAGGAACTTCTTCCATTTCTTTGTGCCTAAAATCTCTACGGGCTTCTTTGTCTTCTTTAACAAGTCAGTGGAGTCCTCTGCACCCTTTGTCCTGTGGTTGCTCTTTCTTTGGTGACCCAGAAGACAGGTGCTGGTATCAGCCACTGAAGAAGTGGACGATGGTGAGGCCATTACCATTACTGCTCTCGGAAGCATCTGGCCTTTAGCGCCACGCCTCACCAGGTGCCAGGATGCACCTGCTTCTGACACTCTGCTGCCCTCTGAGCGGATGGGACCTGCTTTGCTACTGATGTTTGTGCACAGATGGCCGTCAGCAAGCACTGGCCTCTCACGCCCTGGACTGGCCCCAGGGATCGACCTGTCCATCCAGTCTGGCCTTTCCCCTCTAACAAGTGCTCATTGATCATCTGTCTGGCCTTGGGCTTGCTGGCAGTGCAGGCCTGAAGCAGTGGAGAGAAAGGAGTCACTCCCTAAAAACGTCACTAACAGCACTATGCCACATTTTCTGTAGAAATAAGGTAGGATGAGATGAAATGTATATATTCATATTTACTTCTGTTTGTGTAAGTGAATTCCAGAGGGACAAGTTGTGACGGGGATGAAGATGAGAACAAGGCAGAGGGGGTCAGGGATGGTATTGAGGCTCTTTTTATTTTAAAAATATTTT